CCACCGGGTGCATGTCGCTTAGCGTGGTCTCCACGAAAGACACTAAGACAGCCGTAGAGCGTCGCTATTGCGTTCCTGTTGTGTGTGTCGGTGATGTACCTATAGGCACAGCTTGCGGTGGCGTGCCGTGCCAGAAATAATATCGCGTATTTTTGTATTCTGTTAGTTTTTCAACATCTGATTTATGTTCCCGCTAAGAGCTTCCCAGATGTGGTCAACAGTCATTTGTTAATGTTCCTCCAGTATACGTTAGCTGTGGATGGATGGTGTCGAGACTTCCGTGGGTGGCGATCATATGATTCGGTAACATGTCCAACTATTTCAATCTTCTTAGCTAATAGCTATCACTTTAAAGATATCTTATTCCTATACATCTGTCAGTCTATCATGTCATCACTGAAGTCACCGTATTGTATCAGCCTGAATCGATAAAGATTTAATTAAAAAATGATTTTGTAGTGTTTTGGCATATTGATATCATAAAATTAGTTTTATTTTAATTAAAAAATGATTTTGTAGTGTTGTGGCATATTGATATCATAAAATTTGTTTTATTTTAATTAAAAAATGATTTTGTAGTGTTTTGGCATATTGATATCATAAAATTAGTTTTATTTTAATTAAAAAATGATTTTGTAGTGTTGTGGCATATTGATATCATAAAATTTGTTTTATTTTCAATATCGTGAATCAGAGAACGTTTGTGTAAGTATGTATGTGTTTGTATATTTTTAAATATTCACAAATACATCGGTACTTACTGTGTAACATTCAAATTATTACCGACAAAGAACTAATCACTTGTCTTTAATCGACTAACACTTTTAACAGTTCCCTGTCTGTATAGTGGCAGGGAAGTGACCTGATTTATATTGAGAGGGTCATAAAAATGAGTATAAATAAAGGAACGCTTTTTCACGAACGTAATTTTATTACAACTGTGACATTATGACAAGTTCACAAATATTTACACGATATGTACAATTTTTTACACCTTAAATACACAGTATACAAACAGTAACCTTACAGTCGCTATGCGATAAAAAATTACATTTTAGTAAATTCATCGTTACAACCCTAGGCCGAACCGACTCCATACAATTTTGACTTTATACAGAAACTGAACAACTCCATCACATATCTCACACACCGCACACCTTACAACTAATATTTAAAACTTGAACCGGTACAAAACTGGACCCGTGGGCTGCTCGGCGGCCGAGAGACAGGGCTCGAGTCTCTGCGGCCGACGGCGTCCCGTCCGACAGTCTTACTACTCTAGTCGATGGACACGATCAGTGTGTCCTCCTCCAGCAGCGCGGCGGAGGGCTCGCGGCGGCGAGAGGCCCGCACTCAGAGCCGCGTGTGCGACAGCCCGTTTGGAGCTATAAGCGGCGCCAGCGTCGCCGGCCGCGCCTCCAGCGCCAGCGCCTCGCTCGCCGCCACCGACTTCGACGTCAGCGCCGTCGACGCCTCGGACCGCGACCCGCCAGCGCCGCCGCCCACCGACAGGCCTCCACGCGACTCGGCCGCCCGCAACTGCGCGCGTGCGGTGCCACCTCCTCGCTTCCTCGGTATCACACTGTTCTCCACATGAAGAGTTGCATTCACATCTTTCCCAGCTGCACAAGTACAGGCCTTTAGGAAACTTTTCTTGAAGTTGTCAGATAGGAAGGCGTAAAGTATTGGATTCATGGCAGAGTTACTGTAACTGAAGCACGCGGCTACCAGAAAAACGGTGATAGTGATCTGGCTGGCGCACTCGTTCGGTGGAGAGTAAATGAGAGCTACTTGGAACGCCCAGTACGGCAGCCAGCACAGCACGTACACGGCAATCACAGTCAGCACTAATTTGGTTACTTTTCTGTGTGATCGCTTTTTCTCTTTAGATTTGTTCTTAGGGCCGACAGTCTTCAGTTTGCGAATCACGAGACAGTAAAACACGAAGATAAGGGTGAGCGGTGCGGCGAAACCGAGAGCGAACGAGTACAGTGTGAAGGACGTCTGGCCTTTGTTGAACTCTTGCTCGGGCCACACTATATTGCACGACAGGCCATGGGGTGTCGGTATGAGTGTCGTGTACATAAATATAGGCGTCATCACCAAAGCTGACGCTGTCCATGCTGCAGCTGACACCACTCTAGAGACGAATGGCGTCCTCAGTCGCGGCGCGGCTATCGGATGACACACGGCTATGTATCGATCCGCACTCATTATACACAAGAATATAGAGCTGGTGAACTGGTTGATTCCGGTAGATATCATGTAGGCCTTACACATGAAGCGTCCGAACGGCCACGCACGTATAGACATCGTTGTGATCAGGAATGGAATGCCGATCAGGAAGCATTCGTCAGCGATGGCGAGGTTCACGATGTACATGTTGGTGACGGTCTGCATCTTGGAGTAGCGCAGCACGACGTAGATGACGAGGGTGTTGCCGAGCAGCCCCACCACGCAGACGAGCGCGTACAATACCTGCGTCACCACGTACACCACGGGCAGGTTGATGTGGGGGCAGTTCTCGAACGTTGCGTTGTACGTGCCATTGTCGTCGTACGAGAAGCTGCCGTTTCTAAACATTTCCACGTCTTCCAGCTCCATTATGATGAATTCAGAAGTTGAGGTTCGTATGAGGATATTTACCTGAAACCAATAAAATAATATTAGTTGTACACATGTGCCTGCTATAGTGAGAGTTCACTAATGACTAAAAAAATTGGATTTAATACGGCGGAGTCTGCTCTGTGATCAGGTTACTGGTGGCGTGGTCTGATAAGGATATGGGTAAATACGTCGTAGGTAAGTACTACAAAGATAAACACAAAACATGTTAATATTTGTAATTAAACTTTCGTTGTGTACTCCTACGACACTGTGTATTAGGTTACCGCTTGAATATAAGAATTAATAATTATTTAATTCTTATTATTATAGTGATTTAAATAACTTCCATTAGGAAGTAGAATTTAATTTTTGAACCGTAGTTCAACAAAAAGGGGTATCGGCTGAGTCTAGAAGTGACTATCATCAACAGCTACATGTGTACAGTCACGTAGTCAGTTTCTTGTACTTCACATAGTGTCATGATATGTCAGTTGTCTGTATATGTGAGGACTGTTGTTGGATTGTTCACACCGCACGCCGCACACCGCACATTGCTCGCTCGCTGTGATTGACGTTGTTGTATGATTACATTCCACTGAAATATTATCATGGAATGGAACGGGCGTGGGCTACACTGCGCAATACTACTAACGTATTGCGAAATTATTGTTATACTTACTTTTATTTAGTTTGTTACGGTGTTCTGTTTTTTTAAAGATTTATAGCTCTATTATATACCAGTGAATTATTATTATTTTCTTTATTCACAATTTTATTGTGTTTTATCAATGCAGCAAAAGCTCTAAGTAAAATACTGAGTACAGTTCAGTTGTTTCACATTGTAGCTGATTTTAAAATATTAGAAATAGAGAGAAGTAAGGCTGCTTACATTTTGTGTCCGCAAACAATAGTTCGAAGAGCTGTCAACGTGGCGCCGGAGTTCTGTAACAAGAAACAATAGGAAACATCAAAACCACAGCTTCACATGTAAATACTATTTTACTTATTTTCCTAAGAAAAAGTTCCCATATTCTCAGCTGAGAAAAAGTTTGAGTTGAGAACATTCTACAACAATAAACTGATTACAAGCAATGTTTGTTCCTGTTGGAGAAACATCTCGCTAGAATAATGGTGTGTTAAGAATCCATAAATATCCTAGTCATAACATCGTTTACAACCGTCTATTGAACTCGTGTAGAACCACAGTAAGTCTACTCGGAACAAATCATGGACATGAACAATTGTTACATATTTTTGGAACAAGTCTTTGAACTACTCTAAAGTATAGAACAGTTTTCGCTTATTGATTGCGAATGACAGATGTCGCTTACACATTGATAAAGTTCGATTGAAATATGTAATTTAAGTATTTTTGTTAAATATGAATGCACCATTTCAATCGTGCAATATTAATAGCCGTCCGGAAATAATAAATTGCATTGAACCTTCTACATCGTGCCTGTGCCGTGCACGTGCTACGTTTGTTCCGAGAATATTCCTGTTGGCTTCAACTTCAGCCGCAGCCTGTGAAGTCGCGTCTATCTGTCAAACGCATGTGTTTGCTCAAATGTGATTAATGCGGGGAAAATATCTAGTTTGCAATTAAATCTAGTCTGTCTGTTTACCTTTATAGACAGCGGTCTATTTATCTTGGCGAGCTGTGTGAAAATCTGATTATTAAAATGTTAGCGATTAACTAATAAAATATTTAAGATAATTGTTTCGTTTGCCTTTGATCTTTAGTTTTTCACAGAGTCTATGGGAATAGTGCTTACCAAAGTGTGAATTTACTGCAAATCCCGAAGCTAGTATTTCTATAACGCTGAAAACCACTTCGTATTTACGTGGCTATGACAATAAACCAGTGTAGCATATCAACCAAAAAGGAAATAACTGTATCCCAGTAATGAGGCAGTAATCAGAATACAAGTAAAAGTCAGCAAAACAAATAGAAATCAATCAGTGAGTCATAGCAGACAGTAATTGATTCTGACTGACCCGCGGCCAATAACAGCTTCTGTACGTAGCAGGAAAACTGGTTTATGTCTCGCATCCCTCGTAATAAAATATCATAATACAAATATCCGGGACCATACACGTACATAAGCTTGTATGTATGTTAGAGTCAGGTCGCGGAAGGCATGGTTCTCACTACCAGCTATGCTGTATAGAGCGAGCCTATTTAAACATTTCATAAAATAAATAAGTGTACAACTGTACATAGTTATAAAGTAGATTATACTATCCTATCCTAATTTCTCTATCATTCACATAAATGATTATTTATGTTAGACTAACATCGATTTTTCCGTTTCCGTTTCCGGTCGTTATATCGTAAACATTGAAGTTTCGGTGCTCCGGAAAGTTTTTCCACATTAAATACACTACAGCCATAGTTTAACATTTCATTCACATCTTACGAAGAAAGAAGGAAGTTTTGAAGTTAATAGTAATAATAAACATTGCGCATGGTTTGTTTACTAGAAGAAATTCTGAAGAAACAAATCATCGAACTTTGAGGTTAGAATTGTAAATAGACATTATAGAATATTTTAATTGCATAAACGCTTGACTAATAACTGTTAGACAGTTAGTGTCATCTGTCACTACAGTGTTGCCAGCAAATAAACCAATTATAAATACGTTTCTTTACACGCATAAATATAAGAAACATGGAAGGCCAATTTCAATTACTTTTTGATAAGATGAAAATCGAAATGCAAAAGCAAACAGCGGAGTTGAGTAATGCAATAATGGAAAAAATAGAAGAGAAATTAAAACCCATTGTAGAAGAAAATAAAAATTTGAAAATCAAAGTTGGAAACTTGGAGAAAAAACTAGATTACTTACAAAGAGAGAAGAAAAGCAACAATATTATAATTCACGGGATACTAGAAGAAGAAAAGTCGACATTGGAGTTATTCGAAAAGCTGAAAAAAGTGTTTCGAAACGAATTAGGTATATCAATGGAAGAATATGATGTGAAAAAAATCTCACGCATTGGAAAATCAATCAAAGGCGACAAACCGAGACCTGTACTCCTTGGCTTGAATAGTGCATGGAAAAGAACTGAAATACTGAAAAAGAAAAAGAATTTTAAAAATATTTACGTAACAGAAGACTATTCAAAAGAAACTATAGAAAAAAGGAAAGCACTACAACCCAAACTCGCGGAAGAAAGGAAAAAAGGAAACATTGCCTACATAAAATACGATAAACTCGTCGTCAAAGAAAACACAAATGCCAACGATAAAAGAAAAAGAGAAGATTCTAATTCTCCTCAAGCTGATATACAACCAAAAAAACAGCAGACACTAATGGCATCCAAAAATAACAGGGTAAACGCATTTGATTTCATGAGGCGATCAAACTCTCTCTCAACCATCATAACAGAGGGAAAACAATAGCAACGAAACAAATGCGATCGGAAACTGGAAACGAAAACTAAACTACACAAAACAGTAAATAGAACTAAACATACTCCCCCAAGCCGACTGGTCCTCGTGGGGGATGTAGACCACGACCCTCTAAGGATAAATAAAACCCTGGATATACACATAGCTACTCTCAATGTAAGAACACTACGAACTACTGAAAAACTCCATGAACTCGAATTAGCCATAGCAGACTTGAAATGGGACATTATAGGCATTAGCGAAATGAGAAGATATGGGGAAGGTATAGAAGATTATGGAAACTATATCCTACATTATAAAGGCGAGACACCAGGTTTATACGGTGTGGGCTTTTTGATTAAAAAATCACTAGCCCACAGAATCGAAGAAATAAGAGGCACATCGGAGAGAATAGCAATTTTAAATATCGTACTACCATTAAACAAAATCGATAAATGGACTATCATACAAGCTTACTCACCAACTGAATCAAACAAAACGGAGGAAAGTAAAGATATTGAAAAATTTTACGAAAGTTTACAGGCGACTATTCAAACCGCACATAAAAACATTATCGTAATGGGTGACTTTAATGGACAAGTAGGAAAGCGTAACAGTTATGGGGAAGAACATACGGTAGGGCAATATAGTTCTGGTACAAGAAGTAAAAACGGAGACAGATTGGTCAGTTTTGCTTTAGAAAACAAACTAAGTATTCTCAATAGCTTCTATAAGAAAAAACAAAAAAAGAAATGTACATGGATCTCGCCTAACGGACTATATAAAAATGAAATCGACTTTATCATGACTAACAAGCCAAGGAACTTTCAAGATGTATCAGTTATTCACAATTTAAACTTCTATTCAGACCACAAAATGGTACGCGCACGGCTAACAGGTGCGCCTATAAAGAAAAACAGGAAATTTCAAGACAGGAAAGTAGCCATAGCGTGTACTGGAGACAGTGACCGACTCATGACTAACCTACAAGCTACAATGGGGAAAAGAGAAGACATACAACTTCAGATAAGGTATGATACATTTATTAACTTGTTAGCAACAGAAACTAAGAAAATTAACTCGGAGAAGACTAAGATGATTTCTGATGAGACATATCGATTACTACAGGAAAGGAAAGAACTAATACAAAGAAAGGAAAAAAAGGATAACCGCTCTAAGATAGCTGCAGTTAGTAAAAAGATTAATGAACAAATAAGGAAAGATAAGAAAATAAAAAGACAAGCAACGTTGAAAGAGCACATTGAGAAAACTGGTGGAATTAAAAAGGCCTTAAAGGAACTAAATATTAAAAAGGATTGGATGCTACAAACAAAAACATTCGACGGAAAATACACAAACAAAAGACAAGAAATATTAAAAGTAGCTACAGATTATTAACGAAACCTATACCAAAGAAAAAAACCTAAATTGAAGACTAGCCATAAAATCGAAACAGAAGATGAGGCAGTACCAGAAATACTACTACAAGAAACAACAAGAGCAATTAATTCACAAAAAAGGGGTAAGACTCCTGGAACCGACCAGATAACTAATGAACTATTAATAACGACCGCACCGGTGATCGCTCCCATATTAACGAGCTTATTTAATGATATTATGGAGACTGAAAATATCCCGGCCGACTGGTCTACTTCCACTATAATATTACTGCATAAAAAAGGAGATAAAGGCGAAATAGGTAATTATCGACCAATCAGTCTAATGTCCAACATTTATAAAGTTTTTTCAAAAATTATTTTATCTCGAATATCACCAACACTCGATTTCAATCAACCAAAAGAGCAAGCTGGCTTCCGAAGCAAATATTCAACCGTGGATCATATACATGTACTAAGACAAGTCCTTCAAAAATATAAAGAATACAAGAAAGTCTACTATCTGGGATTTGTCGATTATAATAAGGCTTTTGACTCATTGGAACACGATTCAATCTGGGAAGCGTTGCATACGCAGGGAATACCCAGAAAATATATACAAATACTTAAAAATATCTATTCCAACAGCAAGGCACGAGTTAGGCTAGAGGCAACAGGAGAGGAGTTTCCCATAGAGCGAGGGGTCCGGCAAGGCGACCCTGTCTCACCCAAACTATTTTCGTCGACCCTCGAGATGGTATTTAGAAAGTTGGAGTGGGAGGAAAATGGACTCAACATAAACGGTGAACCTTTAAACCACCTCCGTTTTGCAGATGACTTGATCCTATTTTCTGAGTGCCCAAAAAGGCTAGAGCAAATGCTACAACAGCTATCAGATGAAAGTGCGAAGGCAGGACTTTCAATGAACACAAATAAAACTAAAATTATGACTAACGGCTCTAAGACATATAATATCAGAGTTAACACGGAGGAGATAAAGTACGTGGAAGAATATATATACCTTGGACAGTTGATAGCCCCAAGCGACACAATGCAAAAGGAAATCGATAGAAGAATAGCCAATACTTGGAAAAGATATTGGTCTCTAAGCGAGGTTATGAAAAATCGAGACATGCCAATAAAAGAGAAAAGAAAACTGTACAACACCTGTATTCTGCCATGTTTGACATACGGGTGCCAAACATGGGCACTAACGGAAAATTTAAAAAGAAAAATAAATGTATGCCAGAACGGAATAGAGAGAAGTGTAATTGAAGTAGAAAGACAAGATAAGGTAAGACTAGAAAAAATTAAGGAAATAACTAAATTTAAAGATGCAGGGAAAGTATGTAAAACACTAAAATGGCAATGGGCAGGGCATATGATAAGAGAGAGGAATATGAAATGGACAAAGACAATATCAGAATGGTACCCCAGAGATGGGAAAAGGAGCAGAGGGCGACAACCAAAACGTTGGGAAGATGACCTAAGGAAAACTGCTGGACCAGAGTGGATGAGAATTGCGAGGGATAGGGAAAACTGGAAATCCTTGGAGGAGGCCTATGTCGAAGGACAAGCTGGGGATAAAACTACTGATGTATAGTATAGTGATATAGACTAAATTGTAACCTCAGTAATAAAGGCTTATTTTATTTTATTTTATTTATTTTATTTTATTTAACATCGATTTATGTGAAGATTAAATCCTATTCGCTTCAAGATATAGAATATAAGTACCTAGAGGTATTTTTTGGATTCGAAAGACTAGTAAGATAACCGCTAAAAAGTGGGTGATATATAGATATGGTATATGCTCTTCTGAACTTTTCGTAAGTAACTTATAGCTATTGGCTAATTGTTACTTATATCTAGCCAAGTTTAGTTTATGTGTGTACACTACCACTCCTCTTTCGGTGTATCACAGGGTGTTTTAAAGGCCAGTATACAGGGTGAAGGATAGTAGAGACTGACGACATCGCGAAGATATTACATTTAAAGTTACGACTTTTCGCCGCTATCCGGTTTAATAGCCGCCGGCCATACAATATGTTATTGAAGGTTTGGTGAAACTCGACAAATTAAGCTATGAAACTGTTATTACTATAAACATGCTTTTTGAACTAAAGGTCACGTTTAATACATAAATAATTTTAGTTAACTTTGTAACTTGAAAATATATACTCTGATGTTTTGAAGAAAACTGTTCATGTCATGTAGAAACTTTAGTAACTTATTAACGTAAATCCTTATTTTATATTATCTAGCTGACCCGACAAACTTTGTATCGCGTCAATTTTTTTGTCACTTTTTGAACCATCTCTGAACTTCCAAGAACATTTCAAGAGCAAAATTAGCCAAATCGGTTCAGCGGTTCAGATTGTAAGGTAGCCATAAAAGCACGGGCTTACATCTCTCAATAAGAAAACAGAAAATTAATTTATATTTCAATAGAATACCGACTACTTGATGGTATAAAAGAAAAAATCGTGGAAAATTGTTGACAAAGGCAGGACAACGTTGTTCGTTATTATTGTTTAAGTTGAATAGATAAAAGAAAACGCTGTTTCTCTCAAACCTTGAGAAATATGAATCAAATTGTTTTCGTTTAACATTTTAATAAATAATTTTAGGTACTTACTCCCTCTCATTCATAGAAAACGAAAAAAATATTAAAGTCTTTCGTACAATTTTTATGTTATTGCATATTGCGTTTAACACATCGTTTTATATATCAATCCAATAACATACCATTACATACATATCATATAATATGATGTGTTCATTTTATCGTTTAGACTTTGATTTATTCTTTAGTGGCAATAATAGTTACCGACAGATGCAATTCTACAAACAAATGTTCCTGAATTGTGGATTACACGTATCTTTTATCGATGCAACACGGATGTTTCAACACCAGTATATATTACACTGCGCCCGGGCATACAAGGTCAACAATATAGGTACCATACAATAAATATTTATTCATACAAACAGACACATTGACAGACATGGCCCTCAGTGTATCAGTAGTGCAATATGTTGACCCGAGACACTATAGCTGTGTTTCAATACATCAAAGTATCGGAAACGTGCGAATCAATTATTTAAACAATGTTTTACAGCGGATGCAGCCATGCGCCTGCGACGCCGCGCCGCAATAAAATGTAATCGTAAAACATTTACCTAAATACTGAAACAACAATCACATTATTTTTAAAAAGAGTTTCAAGGTTTCTAGATAAGCTCGATAGAAAAAATCATGAAAGTCATGAATTATGTTTCAAATATTTTCGCTTAATAATAAATTATGATGAAATTGTTTGATTCATAAAATAAAATTACTTACACTCATACTTCTATATATTTCATGAAAACTTTGAGAGAAAGCATAGTCGACTAGTAAACTTCAATATGAACTGAAATATTTACAGTGATTGTACTACATTGTGGATGTATTTCATTTGTATTGCATAAAACGTTATTGAATCATTTGGTTCTACTCAAATATCAATCGCGCGATTTTTAAAACACATAAAACGCACACAAATGCTGTGCGCACGCATGATGCGCGTGTTTGCGCAGCTGCGCTACCAATAAAATTGATTTGTGCGCAAATTTGCTTTCACTATCAATCTGATTTATTTAAGATGTGCAG